GTCACCTGGACGTGACTGTCCCACGCAGACCATAATGGACGTGAGACAAGATGGACAGATGTGGTCCACGTAGGACGTCCGCGCCGGTCTGGACGTGATTCAGACGTCCCGCCATATATGCCCGGACGCTTCCGGTCGCATTGGACGTCCACGAGCTGGACTACATTGGACGTTGTTCCGTCCAATGTACGTCCAAATGAGTCTAGTACTGTCCGTTTGGCCCATCAGGGATGCAAATACAATTAATACGGAACTGTTAAAATATTCGAAATGATGGAAAATATTAAGCTATGTGTATTGGTTTTGATTTAAAACAATAAGAATCACTCAAAACGGTCACTTTCTCCGCTCTCAAACCTCTAATACTTACAGATGCAACAGGAGTTTCGAATAGTGATAGGTGGTGCTCGAAGATACCTCTCAGCCCAATACCTGGTATGAGCTCTTTAATGGCCTGCTTTGACAAGAACTTCAAATTTTGCAAAGTAACTTCTCCTTCTGTAACAAGAAATTCGTAAGAACATTGGAAGGCCGTCGCAGCTTCTCTATTCGGACAATAACCCACAACCTAGCGATTCAAACAAACGACACAAAACGAAAGTCAGAGAAGCGACATCACAAGTCCTAACCTATACTCGTAACACGTGTAATCAAACAACAAGGAAGATATACCAATATCAAAGCAATATGTTCAGATAAGATAAAGTTGTGAAAAATTATGCATCGACACGCCTGAATGTAATGAATGCGTTACATAACCTCACTGAGTATTCACCTTTCACGCCCACATTCTAAGTGGCCGGAGAAACGTAATATCATTCCACTCCCTTCTACACGGAAAAGAAAAAGTTAGCTGCCACAGCTAATACAGTCAGCCAATATGGCCTTGGCTAATATTCTCATGAGATATGGGTAAATGTTACCAGCTGCAGTAGCTAATTAGTCTAGTGTCCATCATAGCATAAGCCAATTAGCTCCCAGAGCTAATGTTATCATAAGTACCAGAAAAGTGAGATTAGCTTCTACAGCTAACAAAGGTTGATGATGAATGACAACATTGAATCAGTAATGTTTTCGTATTATTGTACACAGTGCACAGTTTCATCAAGAATCATCAGTGCACTGACTAAATACTTGTCAAAAATTAGGGACATCGGCGAAGGCGAACAGTGCCACCAAGCGCGCCCACATCCCACATGTTTTTTTCAGTTTTAAAAGCTTTTATTGATCTTATTGACAGGGTGGGGTGATACAGCACTTGCCGAGTCCCATTTACCTCGGAAAAATAGTAATTTGTAGTGAACATTGGTTAAATAGTTAACATAATTATAAAAATATGTAGAACAGATTTGCGAGGAAAAAATGAAACCTCCCATATTTTTGTGGTGGGGGTTTGGTGTACCGTCGCTCGTATGGTAGCACGTACGGTAACACCGAGCAAGGTATTTACAATTTGCTTAGATTAGGACTAGATGTTATAAGCGTTTAGATGAATTTATGATTTTGTGGTGCAATGAAGGTTTTTGAATTTTTTATTAAAAAGCATAGAAATGTCAGGGTGAGGTGATGCGATACATTTTTGCATGAACAAGGAATGTTTGTTTTTGCAGTAATCTTTGAAAGGTATGAGAGGTAACAGGCGCTTCATTTCAGTGGTTGATGAGCGTACACTTCTACCAAGTGCAGCTTTTAGAACTTTATTCTCAAATTGTTGAAATTTTTTCCACTTGATTGGACTGCAGTAGTTAAACCATATTTCTACACCATATGATACGTAGGAGTACGTGCAGCAGCCCGTAGTGGCTGAGC